GATTTTTTTTTTATATTATCTTCTTATTTAATTACGAATTAAATGACAAGCGAATATATTCAGTTATAACTTGTATTTTATCTACTTTTCTTTTTCTTTTATTTTCGAGTCACGCACACATACACACACACATATATATACGTTATTTCTTGAGGCAGCTGTTATATATATTCTTACATATATAAGCTTTTTTAACGACATCCTTATCTTCCAATGTCGCGATATACAACTGTTTATATTTTGTACAATATTTTTGGAAATTCTGGTAATAGTTAAAGGCCTTCTCAAGACTATTGTACTTGCATCGGGATTGTATCACATATAATTTCTATAATTGCGCGAGAATTTTGTTAGACTATTGGCAGAATTTCCTCTTTATATATATATATATTATAAACGAATATATAAGCAAGTAATTTTTAAGTACTATATTATACCAAAATACGAGTGAGATGATCCATTGAATGTGCAACGAAAAAAATAGACTCGACTTACCGATTAGATAGGCTAATTAAGCGCTGCTTTGCAAATATGTAGGAAATTGAGTCGCTAAGAGGACAATTACAATTGCCGCAATCGCTTTCTTCTTACACTCAATATTTGACTAAAATAGTATAGACATACACTGATGTAACTGTATTTTTTTCTAGTTAATTTTTTTTTTTAATCGTCTTTGCTTGTAAATGTCTTAGCTTCCAGAAGAATATTCTGTAATGAAAATGGAAAAACTCTAAAGCGATTGCTGTTAATCAGGTTACAATTGAACACGCGTCATATCGTGTAATTTACCGCGTATATTCCCCAAGGCGAGGTTTATTTGCACACTTTCCTAATAAGATCAATCGCATATAGTATATTTATTATCATTGTATATATACACACACATACAAACATGTTTTTTAATCTAGTCTAACGATGGAACAAACTATGTTGTCAATATTAAACGTATATATTCCGGCACTCGAAATATTTGAAGTTCTAAAAACAAACTTAGTTTTCGGAGATGGGCTCGTGTATCGAAATTTCGCCCCATCGCGCATGGGCTTCCCTTTTATCGGTCGGATGTGGCCGAGGACTCAATAAAGTAAAGAATCAAATAACTCTCGCCGAATATAATGGATTAACGTTTCTTCTGCGTGTATCGTCGAAACGATGAGAGATGAAGCGTGCGAACTGACGCGAGAATGCGATCATGTAAGAAAATCATTAAATCATGAATGCGATGAAAAATCGATTCCTAAAATGTAGGAGAAGCATATTTCGCGTTAGTTTGTCGCGACAAACTTTATTCATAGCGAATACCGATAAATACCAAAAAAAAAAAGTTATAATCGCTATTGATGTGTTACCAATTCTTTGTCTCGAAAGATACATATATGTAACTTGCACTCTCTCTCTCTCTCACACATATACACACACACACACACACACACACACACACACACACACACACACACACATATAGCTTACGGAAAGTATTTAGAAAGTATCACACGTACATAAAAGACGCGTATCCGATGTTTCATCGTTTCATCGTTGTTACGTTACCGATAAATACCAAAAAAAAAAAGTTATAATCGCTATCGATGTGTTACCAATTCTTTGTCTCGAAAGATACATATATGTAATTTGCACTCTCTCTCTCTCTCTCACACATACACACTCACACACAGACACACACACACACATATAGCTTACGGTAAGTATTTAGAAAGTATCACACGTACATAAAAGACGCGTATCCGATGTTTCATCGTGCGATTTATGTTACGTAAAAATATTTATTCCTACAGCAACAAAAAGATGACATATCCACTTAAGACACTACTACTTTAGTATAGGGCAGGGCAATAAAAGAAAAAAAAAAGAGGAAGAAAGGGAAAATGAATAAGATGAGAAATGTATTAAAGGAAATATCGTATTTAAAGTATATAATTTTTTTAATGATTTCGGAAATATATAATATTGATTTAATTACATACGCTATGCATAACTGAATAAAGCAAAGAAATATTGTAATACACAAATTTTCTATTGTATACAGATACACAGTGCGGAAAAATCAAATTGCAATTTGATATCTCAAGACAAATAAGAATTATTAATCAATAATGTTGGGAACTGATTTAGTTAAAAATTAATGCTTTTTGAGAAATAAAAATAACTTTTTAAAAGATACATACAGAAGATAGATCTGAATTTTTGTCTAATATAATCTGGTATCCGTGTAGACCTCTAGTCAATAATTAGCAAACTTCGGTTTTTGGCATATAAAAATAAGAAAGAAAGTATTACAGAAAATAACACCGATATTTCGCCGCGAACGCTCATATTTTAAACATAAAAAAAAAAAGCAATATTTCGCTTAATTAGAAATACATTTAATAAGAAATAGTCTTTCGGACTCCATATCCCATTCGAATATATTTTACGCAATTGTCATGCGATAAATATATAAGAGTGTAATCTTTGGAATTTATTAATATACATTATATACACGCTGCGACATCCATAAGATGATGTGTGTGAAATATAATTATAACAGATTCTCTTAATTATATTTTCAGCGATTGACAACATTACACATCTCTATACTCATGCAGTGTGCGATACGCGTATATCTCTGTAAAAGCAAATATAAAAACGTATTTTACTGTTAGACGTCGAAAAGAAAAGACAAATACAGAAGGCAATGCAATATGTGTCTCTTTCATTCGTAGAGATCTTGCGAAACTGTCGAACATTACGATGAGATATGTATGAATCATTGAAAATAACGGAGGCAGACAATTGCTTAAGCATATCAATCATTTGTAAGTACATGATATTACTAATAAGTGTGTTGTGTATTCGACGTCCTCCTTAAATACACTATAACGATAGTTGTGACAGGTTTTAACATACATGCGACACGTAAAAAATATACATATATTCGTGCTCATGCGTTTAAATTGTACAATTTATTCTGTATAAGCCTATATCGTCCTATTTCTCGATCTATATATTTTTAGAGTATGGCCATATTACATTACATACACACTGTAAAGTATGTCATGGTACAATTCGTATGAAAATTTTTTCATGTCGACGCAATGAATATTCGCACTCTCACAATCTCTTATATATGAAATATTTTTCCCGCTTTGTTTATATTATGTGAATACGTTGAAGATTTGTATGCATAAAAGTTTTGGAATAAATGTTATTGCTTTTTTTGTAATGAATGTACGAAGAAGTGAAATAAAAATGTGTTAGTCGATGGTACTTTCACAGTTTTATAACCATAAGCCAAAGATATCTATACTTATTATCTTCAGTAGGATGCGAGTATAGAGAATCGATGCAACAATGATTATATGTAAATTGACTTTATATAGCTACTTATATGCGTGATATGCCTACCTCTGATTTACAGGAAAAAATTGAGGAGGAAAACAGAGTGCTTTCACAGAATATATTTCTTTTATATGATACAATCTATTGTAAACTCTTATTTTCAACTTTTAGTTTCAAATTTGAATCTATATTTTTAAAAATATTGATAGTTTTGCTCATGTTATTAAGGAATTATCAAGACTTAATTGCAACAAGGGAATATAGTGAAATAACCTAGTGGTACATTAATTATGGCAATGTGTTATATCTTTATAAAAAAATATATATATATATATATATATTAAGTACTGAAAGAATACAAATTAAAAATCAATCTATATTATTGATAGAGAAGGAATCATGAATTATAATCAAAATTATAATGAGTAATGGAAAGTTGCAGGATGTGTTATAATAAAAAGACATGTGTTGTAATAAAAACTATTCATATATTACAATATATATATATAACATCAGATGCTGCTGTATTTTTCATATAAGCTTATTATATTTATTTGAGGCTAATCATATTATTTAAGGGTTTGCTGGTTCAAACGTATAATGTACTTTATTGTTTTGAGGATATTGCTTTTGCATCTGAAATATATTTTAATAATTAGACTATCTAGTTGAATACAAAATTATTGGTTTGAAAAGCTATAAACGTTAAATACTGTTTAAAGCCATAGACAGGAATACTTACCACTGGCGTGAATGAAGGATACGGCTCTAATAAGTAGACAATTGCAAAGAGAGTAAGCATGAATGCGACAAATATAGCTGATGCTAGATATAAATCGATTCTATATTTGTAACCATAACTAAAACGATCTTCGCCCATTATCTCAAAGTGATGATGTACCTAGGACAAAGGAACAAAGAAAAACGTGTAAGATACTAAAACGAAAGATTTTAGAAATTCTTTGTATACGTGTATACTCACCGTCTCTCTATAATTTTTTCTGTAGGTTGGTATGTCATACGGATAATACGGATCTTTAGCAGCCGGTCCTATCATTGGCATGTCCGGATAATCACCGATACACTCTTCCTGGGGAGCAGGTTTATATTCCTTTGGATGCAGATTATATTTTTCGGCAATTTTATCATGATCCTTTTCCGAGTATACCCTCGGTTGCCAGATTGTATACCACGGCATCGCTGATGACAGAAATAAAATTCAAATAATAGTAACATAATTACTTATATAATAACAGTATCTTAACCTCTTATCGATACTCTTAACGACACACTTGGCGAAATATTATTTTATGATGAAAATAAATGTACACGAGTATATCGATAACTTACGTTTGTCGGCATAGCATCTCGCTGCGCTGTAGAAAAACACTTTATTCCTGAACAATTGACTCGACAGTCCACAAAATTTACTTGCTAGAGCCATTTTATTGCTCCGCAATGGAAGCGGGTTGTCATCTCGCATCTCGCATCTCGCTAATCTCGCATTTCGCATCTCGCATCTCGCATCTCGCTAATCTCGCATTTCGCATCTCGCATCTCGCATCTCGCTAATCTCGCATTTCGCATCTCGCATCTCGCATCTCGCTAATCTCGCATTTCGCATCTCGCATCTCGCATCTCGCTAATCTCGCATTTCGCATCTCGCATCTCGCATCTCGCTAATCTCGCATTTCGCATCTCGCATCTCGCATCTCGCTAATCTCGCATTTCGCATCTCGCATCTCGCATCTCGCTAATCTCGCATTTCGCATCTCGCATCTCGCATCTCGCTAATCTCGCATTTCGCATCTCGCATCTCGCATCTCGCTAATCTCGCATTTCGCATCTCGCATCTCGCATCTCGCATCTCGCATCTCGCTGATCTCGCTGATCTCGCATCTCGCTATCTCGCATCTCGTATCGCGGAAGTGATGCGATGCGAGCGCCACATTCTCCGACGGATTGGGTGACGACTCTCCAGACTAATCCGGAAATTTGTTGAGCGGGGAGCTGAGAGGCGAGCGGAAAAATGCGTGGAAAAATGGCCGATAGCGTGTTGCTCTCGGGATTGTTCGGCATCGTCGTCTAACTCTTTCGCGGGAAATCGCGGGTTCCCGCGTGGATCTTTGACAGCGCGCGCGTGTAATGGCACGCGTGAGAGCGAATCCGGCGATAACGTGAAGCTTCGTAAAGGTATGTGTACGTGTAACGAGAAGATTCTCCTGTCTTGGGAGCAAAGTATCGGTATGATTTCGGTGATGGCGTTGCAACGGGAAACCGCAATGGCTTTGTTGTCGGTTGTCTGGTTTCCCTTTTGGTTTTGCGTTATCCGCGAAAAATCCATTGTATTTCGTTATTAGATGACTCTCCCCCGTGGAGGGGGGGAGTAGCTTCCCTCTTCCCCCGACCACCTCGATCGACACGGTGCTTTCGAGTACGATGTGCGATATGATTTGCGTCTGTGTTACGTTTATCGAATAAGTTTACCTCTCACGGGAAGATGTTGGAGCGATTTCGGATACACGAAAAGCAATCGAGAGCTAATAGCATTCGATAAGAAACTGGATAAATATACTCGTCGAGATATAGAGAAACGCGTCTCTATTCGAAGTTGTTATTAATGTGTTTGTCTCTCGTATCTGTTGAGAGAATAGAAATAGTCGCGTGAAATCAGGTTTCTCATATTTGCTCGAATGTATCGAGGAAGAGCGAAAGCACGACAGATTATTATACTGACGTTAATTTCAATTTTTTAGGTGGTGATTCTCTTATTCGGATAAACTGGAATCCTTCGAGCATAATAATATGGCGAGCCCGTCGCCCCAGTCGTCGCCTATGCCACCTCCGCAAGCCCCTAGTCCCATGGGTCCTCCGCAACAGGCACCCTCTCCATCTAATGCGCAAGGCAGTCCAATGGGACCGCCGCAGCATCATCCTCACAGTCCAACGCAGGGTTATCAAGGTGGCCCACAGATACCACCAGGAGGACCACCTATGTCGCAACCGCCACAACAGCCTCCACCTCAGCAACAGAATTATTCGCCTCATCCACAGCAGATGCCACCTAATATGGGTCCGCAGGTACGATAGATTTATCAAAAACCATATTTTTGTGTGTGCGTGTTTTATTTTTTTCAGGATTGCATTTGTTATTTACAATAATGTATGCCTGGAATACTAGACACAGATTATGAGGCAAGAAAAGAGAAGTATTTCTACTATGGCATTACTAAGGCTTACAAATTTGGATCTGTTTCTTGTGTGACAAAACGATATTTATTTTATTATTTTTGATAGCAATTTATTGATGTATGTTACATTTATTAATTTTAGTTATCAAAATAATAAGTACATCAGATAACATAAGTATAACAGATAAAAAGTACTAAATGTGTACGCATCTCTTAGTTCTAACACAATCTTTTGATTAATACAAGTAAATACAAGTGCAGCTTTTTCTCTAGTTGCATTTAATATTATTGTGTCTAAGCTAGATACAAAGACATATGCGTTATTATATAATGTAAGCTATATAAAGTATACATTGCATATGTGTGTCTCAGAGAATGAGCGCGTGTGATTAATTTAAGTTTTTATTAAGTATCTCAGAATCGGCTCTCTTGAAAAGATCCACGAGTTGCTGTGCAATTTGTTGATTACACGCTGCTATAACTCTTGGCGTCATTATATCTAGCTCTCCCCCTGTAAATGCAAATTTTTATTATTTAAAGGAGATTCTTACGTTACATGATAAGATAAAATCTAGCAAGTTTCACAGTCAGAATGATTGAAGAATATGAATTAGTGATGCTTGTAGGATTCTCTCGTGTGTGCAAAAGATGAAAGTGATATTTACCAGCAGTATCTATCACAACTCCGCCTGCTTCTTCAATTATCAGCTTCCCGGCTGCAACATCCCAAGCATCTATACTCTCGATATGATACGCTTCCACAGCTCCCATTGCTACGTAGCACAATGTGAGCGCTGCTGTTCCTAGCGATCGTATCCTAGAGAAAGACAATTTGCTATTTAGTTTTTGAATTAACTGAGATAAAGATTTTTAATATTAAACTAATGTTATTTATACAAATGTATTATACCCGTGAGTGCCTTGTATCAGAGCGTGCATTCTACTGTACACATTGGCTAAATATTGAGGATCTTTTGCGATCCACGGTTCCATGGCCACTAACGATTGAGATATATCTGAAAAAAGTAGATTTATTATATATTTTTATGTTTAAAGCATATCTTTTATACGCGTAAGATAAAGAGAGTAATTATTTGGATGAGCATAGTAAATGGACAGCATCGTAATACATCTGACATTTAAAAAAGATTACTTTGACTGAAGGACACGACATTAACCGACGTACATATAACATAGTCTGCGGTATCCGATGGATATTAGATAACCTTCCACTGGACCGTAAAATTGTGCATTTCTTACACTTCTTTTCAGCAAGGATACAACGTAATAGCAATATACGCGAAAATCATATATTCATTATCATATATTTCTACTACATCTATATAGTTCTTAGATGCTGATTTACATAAAAAAAGACATGTCATTATACGTGCCTGCTTCTGACATAAAAAGTGCATTCTAAGTGCATTGAGTAATTTACCTCTCACGTCCGACGTTTTTATAGGCTTCCCGTTGAGAAAGGCGCCACAATGTCTTCTCGCGAAGAAGAATTGTCTCATGAGAGGATTATATATTATCCCGATCTCGGCCTTTTTGTTCACCAGCAGAGCTAAAGAGATGCATGTATGCGGGAAATGATGGACGAAATTGGTAGTACCGTCTATCGGATCTATTATCCATGTAGGATCGTCGGTCAACTGCGGTAACCGACCTTCTTTCGCCACCGTTTCTTCAGCAATAAATCTGAAAAATTAAATCTTGTTATAGCCACTCGATTAAAACTATCCATTAGTCACAATGACTTACTTGTGCGATGGAAATCGTGCGGACAATTGTTTTATCAATTTGTCCTCTATCTTGCGATCGTATTCTGTGACAAGATCCGAGTCGATCCCCTTACTTTTGACGCTCTCACTTGTGCGATTGCGGACAATTGTTTTATCAATTTGTCCTCTATCTTGCGATCGTATTCTGTGACAAGATCCGAGTCGATCCCCTTACTTTCTTACTTT